TTATGAATTTTACCCCTAACTTTGCATCAATTTTTCTGCTCCTCTCAAGGGGTGGTTGTATAAAGATAAAGGAACCAAGTAATATATGTCGCATCTTGCATTTCTTGGCCCTTAAGTGAGGAATGTCGTTTTGTCTACGTGGACTAAAAAACTTTAGAATGTAGGGGCCTTGTTCCTCATCAATACACTCATCCATTAGTTCAGATTTTATAGAAAAGTGTTTTGAATGAGATTCAAGTTCCCTTAATTCTAAAGCAACACTATTTACAACATTCTCACTTTTGTTCTCTTTTTCAACATCGATATTAAGGAATAAAATATAGTTGAATGGCTGGAATTCCTCTTTTTGCTCCACTAGCTGGTCATAATCCACAACAATTGGTAATTGGGCTTCAGACGCCTCAATCTTTTTGTTTAAGTGAGCCTTTAAGTCATGAATAACTGAGCCAAATTGATCGATTTCTTGTGTGAGTTTAACTCTTCTTTCGATCAGGTAGGGTGCCAAGTATGTTATTTCATCACGGATAGACTCTTCAATCCTTAGAAGTTGAATTCGTCCATATATCCAATATTGACTCACTATCTCTTTTTCTCCATAACTTTCTCCTTGTTGGGCCCCAATCTCTTCTAATTCAGCTTGTATTGTAATTTTTGATTGAAGAACATCAAGCTTATATTGTAGTTCCACGATTTCTTTGTACCCTTCTGTGCATTCAAGTATTTCTCTGGTGATTTTTGAATTAACGTTGTCCAACATGTCTGTACATTCAAGCGCCTCTTGTTTTGTATTCACTGTTTCATAGCCCCTACCAACATCACAAATAACAGAAGAATCATAATAGGGGTTTGGGGTAAGGGAATAAGTTTTAGGACAACCATTCCAATGAATATACTGACGACCACATATATGACATAAAGGACTTTCATCACCCAACCACGATTTATCCCAATCATCCATATCAATAAGAGTACCAAATTATTTAAAGAAAGAGAAAAAAAAATTGTTGGAAGAAAAAAATAACTAATAATAAAAAAAAGAGTAAATAAATAAAAAGAAAAGGTATAACCTAGAAGAATAGTTAATTTCTAAGTCCCCGGCAACGACGCCAAAAACTTGTTGCTCCCAATTGCACACGCAAGTGTACGCGGTCGCGCAAGTAATATAGTGGCTCTTAAAAGAACCAGATTATCGAACCCAAAGGACTTGTCAATTAACTATTTTTACTAAATTATACTGATCTAATTTATTTAGTTAAGAGAACCAAAAGAGAAGAATGCAAGAACAGATGGTCCGGGTGGTTCGCCTCTCGCCGCCTACCCCAATTAGCCATCTAACTACATCGTTGAGCGGGGATAGATAAACTAACTGGCGAACATTTATATTTCATCCTATTTCATAACCAAGCAAGGTGTTCGTCTGGGCGTCACTCCTGAACACTAATCACCTCAATCTAATGGGTGGACCGAGCTCTCTATATCCTCTGGTCTATCTAATCCCTCCTCGTTCGATTTTAAGATTAGACAATATATTTATCTCATGGTGATCAAGCACAAAATACTAAAACAAGAATATAAAAGTAACTTATAACGACAACCAATAATTAATTCGAAAACTTTAAATAATCAACATTGATTCCGTAGCTACAGCCCCAGAACAAGGGCTTTCGCTACTAACCTCTAAGAAAATAATAAGAAGAAGAAGAAAAGAACCCTAAAAGGTATTGATGACTTTCTCTTCAAAAGTGCTTCCTCCTTACTCTATATTAGTTTTTTTTCCCAAATAATTATTTCTATGAAATATTTACAGATATAGAAAACCCTAAATAAAATAATTGAGTCCAAAACAAATTAGGAATTCAAAACCATAAAGGAGTTGAATTCCTTTTTATTTTCGGCGTGAACCAGTGCTCCACCGCCTTCAACATGCTGTTGCGGCTCTTCGGTGACTGTCACGTGGAATTTTCCAATTCCAATTCCAATTCTACTTCAACCTAACATATATATTATTTTAGAAAGTTTAATCCATTAAGCTGCCTGCTTGATTTCCTTCTTCAACTTTTCATATTTAATTCGTTTTAGCTCCAAACTTCTTCAACTTTACACCAATTTACTCCTACAAATAAAATACAGTATTTAGCACAATTCATAAAATCCATGCTCAAAAAGGACAAATATAAATAATAAATGTGAGGCAAATGATGATTAAAATATATGTTTTTGGCCTCACATTAGGAACCTAGTTTCATGGAGAAGTAAGAAGCAAAGTGTTGTATCTCAATCTAGTGCAGAATCTGAGTACAGAGCTATGTCACAGTTTACGTGTGAGATTATGTAGATACATCATCTTCTAACTGAAATTGGGTTGGATCATCATACACCATCAAAACTTTGGTGTGATAATCAAGCTGCCTTGCATATTGCCTCAAATTTGATGTATCATGAAAGAACTAAACATTTTGAGGTTGATTGTCATTTTATTCGTGAGAATACTCAGGAAAACTTGATTTCCACTGGCTAAGTGAAGACAGAAGAGCAAGTAGCTGATTTACTCACAAAGGCATTGAATAGAACTCGAGTTGATTATCTTTGTAACAAGCTGGGCATGATCAATATATATGCTCCACCTTCAGGGGGAGTGTTATAGAATGTATATAGACTTAAATCTAGTAATATACATAGGTATATTTAGGTAGTAGATTTATAGGAATCACTGTTGATTAATAGGAATCAATCTTAATTTCTTTCCTTAGTTAGCACCTAATGTATTGTATATGTTCCCTGCTAACCTGCTGCAATAAGATAACATTTTCCATTAGATTACAATCATCAAGCTCGTGTTCAAGCCAATGGGTTAAATCTATCAGACATAGCCAAAATCCACTTCCATGATATCCCAACACCTGATTTTGCCTCCCCTGCACCTGATCCTAATGCATTCACCAAATTCCCATCGCAACTCTTACCATCTTATAATGCTTGCACCCTTCTTCGCGACCCTATATCTTTGTTATTTCGTGACATCTCCTCTAAATCAAGATGAGTTGTCGTTGTTCATGATGTTTTAATGTCATATAATGTTCAGGATGTTACTTCTTTGCATAATGCTGAGTCTTATATATTTAACTGTGTTTCTGTTTTCTTTATGTATTCTAGTTTTATATGTCTACCTAATGGAATGCCTATTCCACTTGATGAAGATTTACTTAAAAAGTTACCTATACTTGAACCTGATGCACCAGAAGAGATCAACAAGTTAGTTGAGTTTCAACTTCAGTATAGAGATATTAGAGCTATTGATTTATACAATTCAAACAAAATACTTGAAGGTATTGTTATGATTTGTCCTTATTTTCTATCATATTTGGTTAATCCTTTCTTGGCGTAAAAGGTTAGGGTAGAAGGTTAGTCGGTATCAGTGCACTGTCTTGATGTTCGTTCACATTAGTAGTCGTAGTATTACTCCTGTAGTTTCTTGTACTTTGATTTCTGTTACTATCTATTGTTTCTAGTAGCTGATTATTGTATTGTTTTATTGTAGTTTCTGTTCTGCTACTATCTGCTATTTTTGTTATTATTTGTTGTTTCTTGTACTTCCGCTACTTCTTTTCCCGAGACTACTTTGGACTGTGTTTTCTTGAGCCAAGGGAGTCTCTTTGAGGTAGGGGTAAGGTCTACATAATCTCTACCCTCTCCAAACCCCATTTGTGGGACTACACTGGGTATGTTGTTGTTGCCTTTCTTGTAGTAATGTTTTAAACTTCTATAAATTGAAGATCCTTTCTTTCCTACAAGAATACCATAACATCCACAATGTAGTCGTTAAAAAGTTTTGCAATTATTAGCTTCCGCATGATGTCTTGATTATTTCAATTCCAACAGGTATAATGGAAAAATTTGCAAGTACACAAAACAAAAAGCAATGGGAAATTAGACCGATTCTGCCTGCTAAAGTAGATCATGTATCATATAAGAGAAACAAATGTTCAGATTGGCTTTATAACTAACCTCCAAGATTAGTTCTTTATGTATTTTTTGGATCATCAACTACATTTTCTGATAAAGAAGTGATGGAGCTCATGATGGGACTAGAGCGTAGCAAACAGAAGTTCGTATGGGTGTTTAGAGATGGTGATAGAGGTAATATTTTTAGTGAGGAAACTAGAAGATTTGAGTTGCCAGACGGGTTTGAAGAAAGAGTAGACGGTTTCAGGTTAGTGGTCAGAGAATGGGCGCCACAACTTGAAATCTTGGCTCATTCTTCCATAGAGGGGTTCATGCGTCATTGCGGATGGAATTCTTTCATAGAGTGTATTACTGCGGGGGTACCAATAGCTGCTTGGGCTATGCATTCTGAACAGACAATTAATGCTTTCATTTTGACAGAAATCTTGAAAACAGGCCTTCTCGTTAGGGAGTGGAAGAAACACGAGAAACTTGTCACTGCATCTGCCATTGAGAATGTCACGAGGAAGTTAATGGCATCAGAAGAAGGCGACGAGATTAGGAAAAGAGCAGAAGAATTGGGAGCATCAGTAAGGGAGTCCAGAGAAAGAAGATGCTTCTCAACTGGAGTTATATTCTTTCATTGCTCATATTACTAGATAGACTTGCTTTTCACAACTAAAAATTTATGTTTTGTAATGCTGTACTACAACTGAATAATCGAACAACGTATGAGGTTCTTGATTAACTCTAGTACATACCAACTGAGGAATGTAAACAAGACCATTAAGAGAGAAATACAAAGCAGTAACTCACTAATTGCCATAGAAGCCAGACAAGTGACAGATAAACTTGAAATTTCTGTTGAAAAGCAAGTCTATCTTGTGATATGCACGATAAAAGAATCAAGCTCTATTCGAGAAGAACCCCCTTTCTCTGTGAAACGCCTAACGGCTTCTCCCAATTCTTCTGATCTTTTCCTAATTGCATCACCTTCTTCTGATGCCATTAACTTCCTAACGACTTTCTCAATAGTGGATGCACTTATTGGGTCCTCACGTTTCTCCCACTCCCTTACAGCCAGGCCTATTTTCAGTATTTCCGTCACCAGGAAACCATTTCTCGGTTGGTCAGAGTGCATAGGCCAAGAAGCTATAGGCACACCCATGGTAATACTCTCTATACAAGAATTCCATCCATAATGACTCATGAACCCGCCTGTGGAAGAATGAGCCAAGATTTCGAGTTGTGGTGCCCATTCTCTTACCATTAAGCCTACTTCTTTTACCCTTTCCTCAAACCTTTCTGGAAGCTCAAATCTTCTAGCTTCCCCGGTAAAGGCATCTCCTCTATCGGCTTCTCTCAACACCCATATGAACTTCTGTTTGCTTTGTTCAAGTCCTATCGTGAGCTCTATGACTTGTCTATCAGAAAATGTAGTTGATGTTCCAATTGATATATAAAGAACTGATCTCGATGGTTGTTTGGTCATCCACTCCAAACATATATTGTTGGTATTCGATATTTTATCGAGTTTAGTAGGCAGAATCGGTCCAATTTTTCAATGTTGTTTACTTTCTACTTGTGCCAGCAAATCAATAAACTCACCTTCAATTACTTTACTTGTATTATGGATATCACCTGATTTAATATCCATATATGGACTCTAAATATCCATTAAGTTCTTTATTTCATCAGACAACGCTCCTTCAAGGGGTGGTAGCCTTTTAAGCAATTCTTCTCCAAGTTGGATTGACTTTCAACTAAATAAGCATAAAGAACAGTACAAAGTGACAACTGAAATGCAATTAAATATATTCGATTCAGCATTGGGAAGGGAAGAAACATCCTGAACAATATATTGTTGTAAATCTTACGGAAAATACCTTCATGACGAACAGTTGTACTGAATTCACCTAACCTTATGCTTCACCACGAGCTTTTGTAGGAACTTCTCATAGATTGAGGCGTGTCGAGAGTCACTGACCTTAAGGATATTTCACCCAGTATAGGTGTTGGGTTTAGCAAGGTGTGAATGGGAAATAATAAGAGAAAATGGAAAGTGGGGGAACCAATTTTGGAGGGAAAATGAAAAGTCATTGCAAAGTGCAAATGAAAAGTCATTTTTACCATATTGGTAGAAGAAAGGAAATTGTTGTCCTTATATTAGGAAACACTTTCTTTAGTTCTTAAAGGGTTAATAAGAAGGTGCTCCTCGGGCCGTCGTCGTCGCTCGCTCTGCCTCGGCATCAGCTTCGGCAAATGATTTGATTAATAATATTTTTGGACAAATTTTTTTTAATCAATCTTGTTAATTCATTTCCTTATCTTATAAATTAATTCAGAATGTTAGTTAAATAACATAATTAATTTGGCGCAACAAAATTTATTTAAAATTCACGTGTATCGGTTAAAACATTTTGAAGGGACCTATTCCTTCCGAAAAGTCGTTACGTTTCCAAAAAGACACAAAGTTTTGGAAAAAATGGGTCTGAACAGACGCGTTCCTTGCTGCAAATGGCTATAAATAAGAGGTCTTTTTCCGTTTTTCAAACATTGAAAGTTTTTTCTCTCTGCATACATTTTCTTACATAAACAAATTTGTCGATCGACTGAGTCTGTGTGTGCTCTTGTTGCTGTTCTTGCGTTCGCTGAAGTTATTGAAGTTTGAGGTACCGCTACTTCTCTAACATGTTCATCCGTTTTATCTTGGGAGGAATTAATCTGCAACCTCGAGTACAGTGAGGGTATTAAATTTCTTAAAGAAACACAGTGGTTTCTGTGGACTCGGATTAAAAGCATTCTGTCTATTTCATCTTTTTTCTGTTTCTGTATTTTTGAGTAACCTGAATACAAGAGATAACAATCTTAAGAAATTTAATAGTTTCTGTATTTAAGTTTTCTGGTGATTAAAACCTTTATGGTTTTTTACTTTGTTTGAATTTTTAAAATTCATTTGATTAACGATTAAAAGAACATAAAAACTTTATTGTTAAATCAGAAACAACCTATGTAAGGATTTATTCTTTACTGTTAGAATTTCACATACTAAAATTGTCTGCCATTTGTGACAGACAAATGACTAATTCAAGTCAAGTAAATGCTGAAACAACAAGTGCTGCAACAACATCGATTGCACACAATCGTTCAACTACTACCCTAGCACCGACGGAGAAACCTGCATAGTTTTCTAGAGTCGACTTCAAGAGATGGCAGAAGAAAATGTTCTTCTATCTGATTACGTTGAGTCTGTAGAGGTTCATTAATGAGAACATTCCTGTTATGTCGGATGAAACTCCGCCTGAAGAATGATTCTTGGTAACAGAAGCATGGACACATTCAGATTTTTTGTGTAAAAAATATATTCTGAGTGGCCTACAAGATGATCTGTACAATGTGTACAGTAATGTCAAAAACCTCAAAAGAACTCTGGGATGCTTTAGAAAAGAAGTACAAAACAGAGGATGTCGAAATGAAGAAGTTCATTGTGGCAAAGTTTCTGGTCTATAAGATGATAGACCATAAGACCGTCGTCACCCAAGTTCAAGAATTGCAGGTCAAAATCCATGATCTCCTTGCTGAAGGTATAAATTTATTTAATACCTATGTTGGAAATATTTAGTCTACTCTTAATACTCACATAATCTTTAATGTAGGATTGGTTGTGAATGATGCTTTTCAAGTGGCTACCATTATTGAGAAGTTACCTCCATTATGGAAGGACTTCAAAAACTACTTGAAACATAAATGCAAGGAGATGACTGTTGAAGATCTCATGGTAAGGCTGAGAATCGAAGAGGATAACAAGGGCGCCGAAAAGAGGTCGCGTGGTAATTCAGCAATATCTTGAGTAAATATAGTTGAAGAAGATCCCACAAAATCTTTTCTAGCAATCCTCCTAAGAAGATATTCAAGGGAAGCTGCTTCAATTGTGGCAAACGTGGTCATAAGGTTACTGAATGTCGGGGTCATAAGGCTACTGAATGAAGAACAAGAAGAAGGATCAAGCAAATTTGGCTGAATCCAAAGGAGAGATGGACGATCTCTGTGCAATGCTTTCAGAATGCAACTTTGTTAGAAATCCAAGAGAATGGTGGATAGATACTGGCGCCTTATGCCATGTTTGTGCCGACAAAGAATTATTTGCATCATATACTCCAGCACCAGCAGACGAGAAGTTGTTTATGGCAAACTCCGTTGTTACAAAGGTGGAAGAAACATGCAAGGTCCTCTTAAAGATGACATCAAACAAGGTGGTGACTTTGAACATGGTCTCGTATGTTTTGAAATTGCGCAAGAACTTAGTTTCTATGCCAGTTCTGACTAAGAACGGATTCAAATGTGTATTTGTTTCTGATAAAGTTTTAGTGAGTAAGAATGAGATGTATGTAGGAAACGGTTACCTCACTGAGGGCTTCTTTAAACTCAATGTAATTTCAGTTGATATGAATAAAGATTCTGCTTCTTCTTACTTGCTTGAGTCTAAATGTTTATGGCATGAATGTTTGGGACACGTTTATAGCAAAACCTTGTGAAAATTGATTAACTTAAATGTTTTGCCTAAATTTGAGTGCAATAAATCAAAATGTCAAGTTTGCATTGAATCTAAGTATGCTAAGCATCCTTATAAAATCTGTTGAACGAAATTCATATCCCTTAGAACTGATTCACACTGACATTTGTGACATGAAGTCAACACCAACACGTGGTGGAAAAAATTATTTCATAACTTTTATTGATGATTGCACTAGATATTGTTATGTCTATTTGCTAAATGGTAATGATGAAGCAATATACACATTTAGGCAATATAAAACTGAAGTTGAAACTCAGTTGGATAGAAAGATCGAAATGATCAGAAGTGATAGAGGTGGAGAATATGAATCTCCATTTGCAGAAATATGTTTGAAAAATGGAATAATCCATCAAACTACTGTTCCTTACTCTCCCCAATCTAATGGAATTACGGAATGGAAAAATCGAACTTGAAAGGAAATAATGAATGCCTTACTTATAAGTTCAGGTTTACCACAAAACTTGTGAGGGGAAGCTATTCTTACAACAAATCGAATACTCAATAGAGTGCCTCTCACGAAGACACATGTTATTCCATATGAGAAATGGAAAGGTAGAAAACCCAACTTGAAATATTTCAAAGTGTGGGGGTGTCTAGCCAAAGTCTAGGTTCCTATACCTAAGAGGGTGAAAATAGGGCCTAAGACTGTGGATTGTGCATTCATTAGATATGCCTCAAATAGTAAGGCATGTCAATTTTTGGTTCATAAGTCTGAACATCTGGATATTCATGATAATACAGTAATGGAATCAGATAATGCTGAATTTTTTGAACATATCTAACCGTATAAAACTAGACTTAGGTCATCTAGTGGGGGGGTCTAAACAACCTCGAGAAGAACCAAAAGAGAATGAAACCAATGAAGAGAGTCCAAGGCGCAGTAAACGTCAAAAGGACAACTACTTCATTTGGATCTGATTTTGTAATATTCCTTCTTGAAAGTGAGCCTCAAACATTCAAGGAAGCGATGTTGTCTAGCGACTCAACCTCTTGGAAGGAGGCTGTCAATAGTGCGATTGAATCAATCTTAAGCAATCATACCTGTGAGTTGGTTGATCTTCCTCCAGGGAACAAACCCTTGGGTTCAAAATGGATCTTCAAAAAGAAGATAAAAGATGATGGAACTATTGACAAATATAAAACAAGACTTGTTGTCAAAGGCTTTAGACAGAAAGAAGGTCTTGATTATTTTGACACATACTCGCCAGTGACTAGGATTACATCAATTCGGATGTTAATTGCCCTAGCTGCAATATACGATCTTGAAATCCATCAAATGGATGTGAAAACCGCCTTCTTAAATGGAGAGCTGGAGAAAGAGATTTACATGGAATAGTCTGAGGGTTTCGTAGTTCCCGATAAAGAAAAGAAATTATGCAAACTTGTTAAGTCACTTTATGGACTAAAACAAGCATCGAAACAATGACATGCAAAGTTTGATCAAACCATGTTGTCAAATTGATTTAAGATCAATGAGTGTGATAAATACGTTTACATTAAAGACACTCCGAATCAGGAAGTCAGTGTATGCCTATATATGGATGACATGCTAATAATGAGCAAGGACATTGCCAATGTAAAAGCTACTAAGCGTATGCTTGCTAGTAAGTTTGATATGAAAGATCTAGGAGTAGCCGATTTGATTATTTGGGGAATTAAGATTCACAAAACTCCTAACTGTCTAGCATTGTCTCAATCTTATTATATTCAAAAGGTACTTGAAAAGTTCAAGTATTTGAATTTCAAAAAGGCAAAGACCCCAATTGATGTGAACCTTAATCTTGCTAAGAATAAAGGTGGAAAGTGAGTCTCAATTGGATTATGCTAGAGTATTGGGAAGTTTGATGCATGTCATGATTTGTACACGACCAGACATAGCCTGCGCTATAAGTAAACTGAGTCGATACACAAGTAAT